TGCACCAAACATTCAAATCCCAATAACACATGTGGCTTGCGCTTGCAGCTTAAGAAAGAAATTGGACTTATAAACAAAGTGTTTTCATGTCAGTGCGGATGCACATCTGTGTATCATTACGAGAGGAAAGAAAAGAAAACACACTGAGCAGTGAAAGAGACTTGGATGATATACAATAAAAGATTGTTTTAGGCAGGTCAGTGCTGAAGGCTTTGCGGTGTGTGACTATGATGGATTGAGAAATCATTGACATTGCATTGATTTTGCCGTCAGAGTCGTTGAATGATTCGATTTGTTGAATTAGAGTAGTTTATTCAGATGCGGAGAGTTTTTCTGTATGTCAAGTAAAGTTTATTAAAAGCAGACATTGCGTTCACCCTTGTCTTGACATTTAACAATTTAATTATCTGGGATAAACACATGCAGTTAATGTGCAGATTCTACGGGAGCCAAACGATGACTTCATTCATTCAGGATACAAAACATCCGTTTGGCTAAGGTGCTGATAAGGCATAAAGGCTTCAATAAAAAAAAAAAAAAAGTAAAAAATATTAGGTTGATATAGCTGTCCTGATATAATGAAGAAAAAAAAAGCCAAATTAAAAAGTTCAAATTCTTGAAAATATGGTGCAACCAATAAAGTCATATGGTGCAACCAACATGCAAAATATGCATAAACATAAAACAGGAAAATACCCTTGCAGATCCTCATTAATGTCAGGTCAATTCAAGTTGTAAATTTAATGTGGTGCAACCCTCCGAAATATTTATGAGTTGATAATAATACATGGTATTTATAAAAACCAAAACTAGAAACATATTTTTAAATGCACTCCCATATACAGTAGTCAACATTTAAAGTGGATATAAACACTGTTCGTTTTCTCACACAAACCGCTCGTTTCGTGTCTTAGGCCACCAATGTGTACTTACATTTACGAGTCATTAAATCATGTTTAATTTGGACTTCTCTGTGCATGCTCTTTGAGGTGGTGACCATTGACCTGCATTATATGACTGATAGACAACAACGGTTTGACCTAAAAATATCAAAATTGAAAATACTGTGGAAACAAAGACACCTACATCTTGGATGCCCTTGAGGTAAGCTAAAACATATTAAAAATTAATTTCAAAGTGAACCATCCCTTTAAAGGATATTCTTATAATATGATGACGTCTTAGAGGTCAAAAGCTGAAGGAAAATTTGATTTCTCAGTTCATCACCCCTTTAAAATAAAGTTAAAATCACGCTTACTTGCGGCTTACATGGAGACATTTACCTTTGCTTAACCTCAAAGCTCAGGATAGGTCTGGAAGATTTAGCTATACATTATTGCTATAAATAAATTGCTATGTCTTTCTATGGAGACCACAAATGAAGCCTTCCAGAGCACTACAGAAAGCAGATCTTATCATTCTATTGAGTCTTTGACTTCACTAAATGCTTTAGCAGGAATCTGTGAAATAATTCAATTCAATGGAGACGAACTCGGTCAACCCTGAGATGACGTAATAGGTACTTTTGATACTGATTTTGGGCCTAGATGTAATTTAGTGACCTATTGAAACTCCACATACCACAGTCACTTTATTTAGGTGAAAACCATCTGGTGGAAGAATCCATGGGCTTTTCACTGTATAGTAAAATCCTGTTTCAGAAATTAGACTAAGCAAACACTCATTCAGAGCATGATGAAAGATAATATTAAGAATAGGTGCAAAATTCTCCCATTTTTGTGTGCGTTTCCACCCATTTCTGCCCAGTGCCGCCCATGGGTCTGGCCTTTATTGCTGGGCAAAGTGCTGTGAACTAAGCCTGACAATAACAGAAATGAAATGTGCAGCAGACATTAGCCATCTGCTGGATGAATTTTATACTTTCCCCCCACAAAACTAGAAGAGGAAATTAAAAACATTATTGAATGAAAATTAAGCGAATGTTTATTTAAGTGTACACTGTATTTTTTTAAGTACAATCAATTTGGACGTTTAAGTCATTTCAACTTAAATGACATTAAACTGACTTAAGAAAATGAGTTGAATCTTGTATAATGTATTGCTTAACTTATTTTGATGACTTGGAGTAGTTCACTTTTTTAAAAAAAACTTTAGCTGATAATTTACTCACCCCCATGTCATTCTTTCTTCAGTCGAAACGAAATTAAGTTTTTTCATGAAAACATTCCAGGATTTTTCTCCCAAAAATGCACTTTACTGGTAACCAAACGGCTTAAGGTCCAAAAGATGCGTTCGTGACTCTCCTGTACAAACTCGTTCATCAAAATGTCAGTTTGTTCATTTTGTTCGTTGAATGAACCAAATGACACGAAAAAGATTCGTTCATTTTGATAAACAAGTTCGAACAGGTGAGTCACGAACACATCACAGAACAGAGCAAGGCGACCATCTGAGCTTCTAAAACTTAAACTTTTTTTTTTTTTTTTAAATGACTGATCGTTTCGCTTGATAAGACCCTTATTCATCGTCTGGAATCGTTTAAAGCCCTTTGAACAGTTTGCACTGAAAGTGTCTTTTGGACCTTGAACCGTTTGGTTCCCATTGAAGTCCATTATATGGAGAAAAGTCCTGGAATGTTTTCATCAAAAACCTTCATTTCTTTTCGACTGAAGAAAGAAAGACATGGACATCTTGGGTGACATGGGGGTGAGTAAATTATCAGCAAAAGTTTTTTTTAAAAGTGAACTATTCTTTTAAAGCAAATTAAAAACATATGTTGTCATAACTTATTGGTCAATACAGTGTACATTAAAAAATATACAAGTAAATTAAAAGCCTTTATTTTGCACCCAGAAATATGTACTACTGTAGAATTTTACCCCAAAGAAGTGAGTCTTTCTTTCAAATATGTATAAATGTGTTGCCAATGTGGCAAATTTTATTTATTTCCACTTCGCAGAGGCTGTTTTTTTTTTATTTTATTTTTTTAGTTTATTTCCAGTCATGGAGTTGAGTGAGTTTAAAACGTTTGGGATTGGACCGGAATTGTATCCTGGTAACCAAATTGCTCCCTTGTGTAGGGACGGAGCCACCGTCCGGTCAAGTTAAAGACAGAACTGCAGTATTAGGATCTTACCAAATTTGGAAGATGAAGAAAATGAACAGAAATGCTCAAAACAGCATTACAGCATAATCTGTTGAAAGGCTACGGTTTTAGCAGTAAGAAGGAAGTTACGACAGTTTAAAGGAATTTACTATGCGGATAGATAAGCACAGTGGTTGATAGAACCTCAGCCTGGGGTAATTTTTAGCAGTTTTACCAGTTCTCAGAACAGTACTTCACTTACTGTATGTATTACAATGATGTCCACAGCAACTGACTCTCAGTCAAATACCATGTGTGTACAATTATTACTCTTCCTGTGGTTATAAACGGTGGCCCCAAAAAAGTAACCGGACAATTATGCCACACCTTATAAAATGTATAAGTTTAATTGCATTAGATTAGATAACAACATTGGCAAACTGGCAGAATATCAAGTGGCATTTACAAACTAATGATGTTAAACTCTTTCTCAGAACTAAATTCGCTTTTCTTAGTCATTACTTGAAACCAAGTGATCCTAATTTTTAGTGGCGGTATTTCCGTAATGTTCACACATCAGGTGACTTGAACAAGATCCAATAACGTTTGAGAGAATTCCAGAACAACCATCGTCATTGTCTTTAATTCCTTTTTATCCATGTTTGTTGCTGTCTGACATTTAAAAATAGATATTTCAAATGTCTTTATAACAAAAATGATAACACACCTACAATATTTCAACTAGATGACAGCATTCAGTGACAGTTTTGATGGTTCAATCAATGATGGCTTTAAAATGGGACTGTTTATGGCATTGAATGACAAAGGTGTTGTAATCTGAAAACAAACATGCCTCGGGCTCAGTGAGAACATTAAAGAGTGCGAGTTTGACGGTCACAGCTCTAAACATGTTGAATACGAATGGACGATTATCACGGCATCATAAATCTTCCATTCTACAGCTTTGATTTGTTAGTCAAGGTTATCCACTCTTCTGTTTGCATTGGGATTGCACTGTCACACTGTGTTTGTCACAGAAAATGCTAAATTTCGCTACTTTTGAAACTCTTTTGAAAACAGAATTTAAAAAAATAATAATGAATGAAGCTCTATTCATAAAAGCTTTTTCAAGCACAAATGCTCTACAGACTCAAACAGTTCTACATTTTTCTTTGAAGCAAATCTATGCAACTATTATTATTAATAATAATCAATACACAGACAAAACTGACTTGACTGAATATAGCCTTAACTGGAGAAACTCTGATCACAAGAGTATTCCCAAAACCAACCCTTAATTGTAAAATGGAGGAAAATTGTTACAAAAATTACTCTAGGACCAAAGCACAATTCACAATTCTCATCCACTTAATAAGATATACTGTACAATCAGGGTTCCCACACCTGGTTAACTTCAAATTCAAGGACCTTTCAAGGACTTTCCAGGTCCAATACCCTTAAATTCAAGCAATTAATGTGGGGACACATTTCAAGTGAGAGCAAGGTTACATTGTGTTACCTTGTAGGATACATTGTTAGTTTTGGATACAAAAAGTACCTCACTTAACGTAAAGCATAAATGCGCGTAACTAACGTAAATCAAGCAAGCTAGTATGCATAGGCTACGAAGTGTTGGCAAAATAACACATTAATGGAACGGAGGGCATAATATGGAATTTTTTACAGAAATTTTTTTGCACAAAATAAATTCAAGCACTTTCAAGGACCTGTATCTATGTATATTTATTTTCAAAAACTTTCCAGGGCCTTGAAAAAAAAAGAAAAAAAAAAGAAATCAGATTCACAAACTTTCAAGGATTTCAAGGCCCCGAACAATGGCAGTGCATTCAAGATCATCTACATCAATTTACCTTCACTCCCATATTGTCCGTGTCTTGTTATAACATGTGCAGTCACATTAAGCTAGACTTAAATAAGAGATCAAGACAAGGGAAAAGCATTATGTAAACTTTATTATGGGATTAAACACAGAAGCAGCAGGACTTGACTTGCAGGCTCTGCATAGTAAAGGTCTTAAAAGAAAATAGGCCTGATACAGAAAAAATCATAATAACAATAACAGTCGTAGAGTACAAAATGCACATTCAGTAAGAATGTAGTCGAACTTACTACAAACTAAATGGAAACATAATACTTCAGTTTCAACACTTTGAGAAACTGGGGTTCGTCTAAATATCCAGATCACAAACAATACAAAAGATTAATCTTTTCCTTAATCCATTTCCATGCGTTATGTAACAGTACTAGATTGGCATCAGAAATATTAGCTGCAAGTTACTTGGTCAACAAGCACCAATCACATACACCAACTGTCCCTGTGGACTTCCACTATAGCTACCGCATAAATCAGGGGTGTCCAGGGCTGCTCCTGCAGAATTTAGCTCCATCCTGTCCCAACACACCAGCCTACAGTTTCTAGTAATCTGGAAGACCTTGATTAGCTGGTTCAGGTGTATTTAATTAGAGTCGAAGCTAAACTCTGCAGGACGGTCGCCCTCCGGGAGCAGGATCTGTCCTCCTCTTAAAAATAGGAGCTTGGCTATTTTACTTAACTGTCGTGTTCATCCTGAAGAACTTCTCTTCCTAAACTCAGGAATGTTGCCATATGGCCAAAAAGTAAATCTGGGTTTGAGAATATTTTTTAAGATTTATGATGATGTGCTCCTGAGCATCTGCACGAAGCCTCTAAGGAGAGATTCTGCTCTCTGTCAGCAGGATATTCAAACATATCTCCTCTGCAAAAACAAAGCTCCCCAAGTGAACTTCTGTCGTTTTATCTGCTAGAACACACATGACACACACATACTACTGTACATGCAGTATTGTGAAAGTGGGGTCTTGGTTTTGTCCTTTGTAGGGGCGATATATGCAACTACACACACAAAGATAGTGAAATGATCAGTCGGAAACGAACATGTTGACCAGTGTGTGTATATCATGAAGCTCAAATTTTCCTCTTGTTGCGGACAATTGGGGTAGAGGACTATCGAGTGGACCAATAAGAAGAGCCCAAGTTACTGTCAGTGGTGCAGTTGGAGCTGAAGGCATGGTTGTAGCAAGTGGCGTCACTTTTCTGCAGAAAGATCCGTGATAAGGCCAGAAGTGGGGCAATATGTGAAAGTGCGTGAGGTACTGGTAGTGGCTGTTGTTATAATGTAGTTGGGCTTCCCAAAGACTGAAAATCAAGGCTGAGCCTCAGTGTTGGGCTCCTTGTCGTAAATGTAGCTGCCAACCCCACCAGTGTTTACACCTAGAAATCCAAAAGAGTCAATCAGACTGGGTTGATGACCAATTTAACTAGGACACATAGGAGATAAAAAAATGCTTTATCTTTAATGCTAATAAAAAAATACACTACTTTGAAACCAGATTATTGTCTGAAAATGAAGCAATAGCTCCCCCTAGAGTTGAAAAGTCTCACGGTACCTTTTGGGCCGAAGAGGACAGCATAACACGGCTTATGGCAGTAGGGCTGACCATTGTGCTAGAACACATAAAAACACATTTTAGGATAGATTCATGCATTCAGTTGATGCCAACTGAATACACTACGTTTTTTCAATGCCTTTTCATTTCTTAAGACCTGCACTTAAGATCAGCTAAAAATGTATTGTGTACATGCATATACAGTTTGTAAAACAATATTTCATTGGTTTCTATTGGGGACACTGGAAAGTTGATATAAAAGTAATATTCATTTTACACATTTTGTAAATATCACACAAAGTCATATTGAGATTTCATTTTTATTACGACTAGTTATACATCCTTACTCAAAAACAACAAAAACAAACAAATTGGGAATTGCAAATTAAGATTTTAATTCTTGTTAATGGCCTTTATTTCCAGCATACTGATGTATTACTGTACCTAATGAATGACCCACAGATGCCCTGCGGTTTATTCAAGATTTATAATGTAAAATTGATTCTCGATTAACCTTTTACATCAGGGGTGCCCAATCCTGCTCCTGACTGTCCTGCACAGTTCATCTCCAACCCTAATCAAACACACCTGAATGTGATCCTAAAGACCTTAATTGGTTGTTTCAAGTGTGTTTGAGATGATTGTGCAGGACAGTCGATCGGCAGGAGCAGGATTGGGCACCCCTGTTTTACATGTACAGAATTAATAAAAGGAAAATGGCATCCATCTATACACTTCTACAAGAAGCAACCTTTATTTTCCTCTCACCTCTGCGTGGCTGCCTGCTGCCAGGGTCTTTTTACATCTTTCACAGCGCAGGCATGGGCGATGCCAGTCCTTCCCCAATGATGTCACCTTCTCAGCTGCCGTAAGTACGTAAAAGGACATGTTATTCTGCTAGCTCCATTACATGACACGGTATGAAATGTTATTAGGACAGAGAGAAACATACCAAAATAGACCTTCTTGTTGCATCTGGGACACAGGTTTGCTTCCCCAGAGAAGGTGGTGATGCTTCCAGCTGAAATGAAAGGTGGATTCACTCTATGATCCAACTAAACTGTGATTTGCCTTATGTCATATTGCAAAACATTTAGAACAAAGGGAGACGCATATATCCTCTATGTTCCTGCTTACACATTCAGAATAAGTCAGTTGCTGTGGATTTCTGCTGTTGTTTGTACCTTTAGATGGCACCTTAGCAGATGCTGGGACCCATTTCTCCTGAGGTTTGGGTGTGGAGTCCACGGTAGATACGGGCGGGGAATTGTTGGCGGGATTTTCGTACACATATGATCCTGCACCTCCAATGTTCACACCTACATATTGACCAGAGTTTCATGAAAATATCCTACAATCATGCAAAATGTTCATTCGTTGCAATTAATGAATTAGGTATTAACTAACAATCCTATGGGATTTTTCACCTCATTCATGTACTATGTACATATATAATAGTACGTATATAATCTAACATCAATCTACATTGATACTTATTGTAAAGTGTTGCCAGTATTTCTCCAAACATGAGGATTCCTAATGCCCAGCAGAGGGCACTCTTTATTTTCATGTAAGCATTTATTCTTTTTTTAGACTCTTTACCATGGGCTGTATGTACCAGAGAGCAAAAATCTAAGTCAAATCAATCATTTCACAACCTAATACACTGTATATAAATGAGCAGAGATCAGAACAGTTTGTTCCATGTTAATAGACCTTATTCAGAACAGGTATGAAAGCAAGGCTGTGAGGGAAAGCGCTGTAAAGCTCCTATAAAATCACTTATTCTTATTACTCATTTTCCACAGCTCATGTTGTCAGAGTTTCTGTTCCATTTAAGTTTCTTGGAAAGATATTTTTGCAGTGCATCATCAGCATAACAATTTAAAAACACATTAAATACCAGTACAACCCACTGAAGAGATGTCTATCCCTTACAGCCTCACTTTCATTTCTGTTGAAAATGGCAAAGATGACGCTGCTGTGAATAAGGTCTATGTGGATGTCGCAGGACTTGCTAATTGTGTGTTCTCACCTTTTGGACCAAAGAGGGCAGCATAGCATGGCTTGTGGCAGTATGGTTTCCCATCATGCTGTGAGGATGTACAACAGAATAAAAAACAGTCATTGCAAGCATATATTCCTTCAATTAAGACTCTACAATCGAATGAGAGCACATTTGCTAATTTCACCCGCTGCTTGTGCACTATCCTACAGTAAATGTCACAGACAGTGCTTATCTTGGGTGTCCTCTCCCTGATAACACTCACAGCAGTTACTAGTCTACGTTGCCGTTCTATGTGTCTTTGTGTGCTTTGAGTGTGTCTATGTGTATGTGTGTATATGGAAGGTTGTGGACAAAACATTCTTCAATGGTAGTTGCTCCCAGACCCCTTTGGTGAGGGCCATGGCGGGAAAGGGTTACCATGGGAACCGTCAGACGGCAACTGTTTCAGTTGCGCAGGTCAGGATAAAGGAACGGAAAGGGCAGAGAACAGTGGCCATATGCCAGTACAGAAGTATGCAGGGGGGGGGGAAATGCGTAATGAGCCCCACATTCCAGCAAAGAGTAGCAGACACCTTCCCGCCTCAATTCCCATGATGGAAAACTTGATGATGGTGTAACATATCAATACTTCTAAAAAAGGCAACAAACTAAAAAAAGCTACACAGGAGCACTACAGAGGTGGTTCTGGTGTAGATCAATCAGGACCCTGAAGTAGTAGCCCAACCAGACCCCTAGCAGGGAATTTTAGGACTTCACCAACACTCCTGTGACTTTAGCATAAAGTCTAGCCAACTTTACAGCGTATTCTAGCAAAGATCCTATAGGGGAATCTGAAATGCGTGCTTAAGGAAATATACTTGTTGTTTCTAAAAGATTATATGCCATCAACCTCATAAACATCAAATCCAGTGACTAGTTCTTCTGTGAAACCACTAACTATAGCACATCTTGACCATTTGGATTCCTGGCAGATTGAAACCAAGAACCAAGTTTAGACCCTAAAGATGCTGTTACACTGACAGCGTTTTTATCACTGGAGGTCATCAAGTCTATGAATTACTAGTTAGTTTGCCAGCAGGCGTTCTAAATCTGACTGCAGTATCCAACGGCAGATCATGTGAGCTTCACTATCTGCACTCCCATTGGTAAATCACCACATCGAGTCACTCTGCATTGGCAAATGGCGGTCAACGGTCTCTAACGGTATTATTGCTTCAGCTCACCCACTTTTACCCTGTTTACACCTGGTGTTAAGATGCGTTTTGTCGAAGGGATTGGGATCACAAGTGGATGCTTCTAAATTCAGGTGTAAACGGGTCTAAAACGTTTTGAGCGCATTTGTCTGGACTGCTTTCATGGTATAAACGCTCATGTGGGCGAATGTGTTCGAACAGCCACAAAAGAGCGCCTACTCTCCTACTGAACTAATGCGTAAACATTATGGGAAGCGTGCTAGCCAGACAGGATTTAAACTTTGTCGGCTGAAGACTCAAGTTTGGTTTGAAGACGAAAAACGTACCAATAAAAACGTTCTTTAACCATTTCTGATTTTGAACATGCACTCACAGAGTTCGCGGTGATCTTGCGGCTTTCAGAGCAGAAACTAAAGCTGCTGCACTGAGTGCGCTCCATATATTTTTCCATCGTCACGTGCGCGTTCATGTGTAAATTGCTTGAGCTTATTTTGTCCAAAAAAACCTGGTACTGTAGATTTACCTGCTCATAGACTCTCCCTTTAAAGAAATCAAGACAGAAGTGGTTGAAACTGGACAAAAGAGACGGATTAAAACGCGAGGTGTAAACGGGAATGTGTCTGCCTCGTCTACTTGTGTTGTGATCCGATCGATCTTAATTCTAGGTGTAAACAGGGCTCTGTTGCACACACCTTGACTCTTGTAAATTCCAAAATCAAAATCAGATCTTGCTGTTTTGTGTGCAATATGCATTAGATGGACAGTGAATAGTCTGTGGGTGTGCTGTCTAAGTCAGATACAACACTTAGTCCACCAGCTCCCATTACAGTTCTCACGGGTCAACTCTCACCGGTCATATAGAGGAGCTCATCAGCCCACACTTTCCCAAGAACCAAGAATCACATCCACCCCTATTCCCATAAATCATCTCGCTTTACCCTGCTTAAATCCATTGAGGACACTAAGGGGTGATCATCTTAGCCACAATCAATGGTCTTAAAGAGAAATGTACATGTGATTTACCCATCTTCATAAACCCAACTTCATTCCTGTACCATGTAACTCATTCAACCAACAGAAATCTCAACATAGCAACCTGACCTACATCCAGATTTAGGTTGTTGTGAGCTGTGAGGATGTTAATATGCTTACACAGAGATTACAGAGAGAATTCCTTCTATTTGTGACTCTTCCTGAAGTAAATGCAACACTTCTGTTTCCTACACTCTTAGAAGAAAAGGTTCTATATAGAACCTTAAAAGGTTCTATCAGCGCTATGTATTTGGAACCCCTAAAAGGTTCTATACACTCTTAAAAAAGGGTTCCTATGGGTTCTATATAGAACCCTGGGGTTCCATACTTGGCTAATAGAACCTTTTACCAAAAGAATTGGTTCTATATAGAACCATTTTGGAGTTCCATATATGAAGCGGGGGATGGAACCATTTCTGGTTCTAAATAGAACCATTTCTTCTAAGAGTGTACTCTTGTCCTTGTGGAATACAGACTCAAGGCAACATGACGACAATTCCTCTGGCTCTAAAACATCACAGCCCTGTCCTTTGCCCTCTGCTGCCATTCCAATCTAGACACAGTCATCACCGTGTGATGTAACAGGATGCTGGAAGGTCGCAGAGAATTTAATTTGGCTCACAGTCATACACACAGGAACAGTCAGGACGTACAAAGCTGGCCAGCAGGTTCAAAAAAACGAGCATCATCACACAGCAGCTTTCCAAAACTAAAAAGGAGGGAAAATTCTTATTGTAGCATGGAGTAGGCTTTGTGACAGTTTGGTTTGTCTTCATATTTTCATATTGACACGTGACAGGCCTCAATCCTGGTGCTGGACTCTTCAAATAGAGCACTGATCCTCTGATGGAAACGTGCAGTGGCATAAAGTCAATACTCAGCTGCTGGAGTTTGAGTTTCCCCAACTAGACTACAGAGAGGTAGCGTGAGATCTAGTAGTGAGTCTTACCTCAGCATGGCCACCCGCTGTCAGGGTCTTACTGCAGCGCTCGCACTTCAGACAGAACTTGTGCCAGTCCTTCCCCAGTGACGACACCTTCTCAGCTGGGAGGTGAAAAAGAGAGAAAGATAGATTTTTTACACTTTTTGATAAGAAAATGTGAGTTTGCACATGAAAAACTTGTCCAATACTAGGGTTAGTCAGTGGTTGCCGGGTCAGTATAATTATTAGTGAATTGCTGGGTGGTTACTAGGGTATTGAGACATTGCTATGGGATTTTTCACCTCAGAATTTGAGGTTTAATTCATGTACATAACACTAATGCTTAAAACTAAGGGTTAGGTGCTTGTTCAAATTCCTATACAACACAAACTCGGAGGAGTAATAACAGTGATTTGCAAAATTTGCAGTTTGTGTGTGTGTTCATTACTCACTACTCTTAATGTGTGTGCACTAACTTGGATGGGTTAAATACAGGCAAATCCCATGCATGCAACTTTCACTTTTTTTATTATAATAGACTATGGCTATATCTGAATGCATTCTTCCCTACTATATGGTAGATGAAATACTACGGTGCTACTGGCGAGATTCTGAGGTGTGCATCCAATGGACAATTTACTATCCCATGAGGCCACAGGAGAGGATTTGTGAATGGAAGTGAGTGAGGCAACTTACAGGTAGGCCACATGACAATGACATGCCGAATGTCTGAGTTACAGTCATACTATCTAGATCTCACTTTTTAAAATGGTTTTAAGTACTCATTTAAAAAGTACAGTATCTACTCAGGGAGTATAGTATGCAGCTTTGAAAGCAATACAGGTCCTTCTCAAAAAATTAGCATAGCTCATTTAGAGAACCTTTATAATGATATGCTAATTTTTTGAGATAGGAGTTTTGGGTTTTCATGAGCTGTATGCCAAAATAATCACTATTAAAACAATAAAAGACCTGAAATATTTCAGTTGGTGTGCAATGAATCTAAAATATATGAAAGTTTAATTTTTATTATTACATTATGGAAAATAATGAACTTTATCACAATATGCTAATTGTTTGAGAAGGACCTGTATGTGCATCATATTGTGAATTTGTGATAATATTGTGTTGCTGCTGATAGTGAACCTGCCCGTAACCACACCCTAGAATCTCTTATCATCTAAACCGTAGTGTAGAAGGATTTTGAAGCTAGTTTTATGCTGCAAGTTTCCCTTCCACTCAAATATTAATGTCTGCAGCTCCTGATTAGCTATGAATGTGCTATGGAAACTGCCTGTCTGAGAATCCAAAATCCTAAAAGTATGTACCAAAGTATGTTGTGCATTTCCTCAGAAGGTTAAAACAAAGAGTCTCTTCCTGCCGTGAAGGCAAAAGTGAGCAAGAGTCTCCACACAAGATTATTAATGGTAGATTTGTATAGTTTTCAGAGCCAAGCTAGCTTTATATTTTGAGGATGTTTGCTGGTCTGTGCATTTTCATTTTGACAATCAATGCGAGATCATATTCCATAAAAACAATGAAAAGTACTGGCCTCATGAGGAGGGGTCCGGGTCAAAGCGTTTTATTTCTAAGCAGAAATGTGTTGACATGCAAGACAAGGAAATGCAGTGGCAGGGCGCTATCACAGCCGGACAGCTAAGTGACGACACCTCCCCATTTCCCCTCCTGTCCCGTTTCTTCAGGAGGGTCCCGGGAGACTTCCCCAGACCTAATATTACTCTTTCCATTTATATACTTCGCTCTCAAGACAATGCATAACACCGGCCTGCTGGGACAACTCTCTCACTCTGGAGGAAACACCTTTGCTTATCAAAAACAGCACAATCTGCTGGAGAGAACAGTTCATTTCCTCCAGTTTTCCTCTCCTTCCTTGCTTTCCCGCCTGGAAAAGCATTGTTTTCGTTCAGTCAGTTTTACAGCCCTCTTAGTCCGTCTCTTGGGGGTGTCTAGGTCAGTACAGCAGAGATCAGTTTCACCATCAGAAGAGGAGATTATTTTACAGCTAAAGTAAAGCAAAAACTCCTACTTCACTGAGATCCTCAAGTATATCCACACATGGAGGCAGAGGAACAATTTAAAATGTGTGGGCATGGATCTTTAAAAAGTATGACAATCTCCAGGACATGTTCGCTAACAGTATACTGCTGCAAAGGCCTTTCAAACTTCTTTTTACCCCTAGAAGCCCGGATATACCAAGGCAAAGTTGTTTTTCGTTCTTTGTTAAGGGGTAAATCGAAGATCAAAATTCATGACCAGCGATATAGTGTTATCGATCATCCCATGCCACCCACACAGCAGAGAGCGACCGTTAGATGAATATGTAAATATGTGCTGCATGCTTTCCTCTCGGTAACAAAAAACACAATAAAATTGAGAAAATGGCAAGTTGTTTTAAAAAAAAAGCATAAGAAAAGCATCTGATCATTGCAATGTAGATATATTTGCACAAGCTCTGGAATTCAGCACTCTGTCAGATTCTCGTTTCATCAGAAGTACAACTTCATTTTCTACTATAACGCAGCTCCACTAGTGTGTTCATGTTTTCACTTTTGACTTGGGAAGAGAAATGAAGCGGTAAAGATTTCCATGTGAAAGAAGGTGGAGCCTCAGTGCCACACCTAACCATTACATAATCGCCACGGACCAATGAAATGCGTTTACCAGCCGAAGCAAACTTTTCCAGAAAGTTCCCTTTGGCAAGCTGTTTTGAACTCCCAAAACGAACTCCAAACAAAGTTCGTTTTGGCTTGATTTTGTTCAAAATGATGTCACAGCAGTTCAACCTTCGATTTCGCTCGAAGTATTGGGGCCTTAAGCTACGAACTTCACCGTGAGTCTATCAATGCCTATACTGGCCCAAGTCAAATTAGGCCACCCTCAAGTTCTGGTCTCAATAAATTACAGGTCCCTGCTTGAGTCTGCAGGATTTTTAAATTTTATTTTACGTCTGATGAACATTATAAATTTGATTGCCTAAAAAATTGGTAGCACAGCTCTCCTTACACGGACACGTGATTTAAAGGGATACTCCACTTTTTTTGGAAATAGGCTCATTTTACTACTCCCCCACAGTTAAACAGTTGGGTTTTACCGTTTCCGAATCCATTCAGCCGATTTTCTGATGTTTAGAAGAATATCATTAACCAGACAGTTTCTGGTCTCATTGACTTCCATAAAACGGTAAAACCCAACTGTTTAACTCTGGGGGAGTAGTAAAATGATCCTATTTCCAAAAAAATTGGAGTATCCCTTTAAGGAAGCATTGATGTCCGGTGCACATTGATATATCTAACTAAAATAATGGTTTCATGCAGAAATATAACATTTTTAAAAATAGTTATGTACTATAAATGTAACCTATAAATGAATTCTAAACTCACATTGGAGACATAGAGGCCCAGACAGTATAAATCACTGGTTTACAGCAGAAGGCTAATCCAAGATAAGTTCACAGTCAATGGCCCAACTGGATATAAAGAGAGAGAACGTCTCCACAGGGAAGAAGCCAAAGCCAGTGGGTACTATACAACGGTAAGTGCGTTTACGTGGTGGTTGACGAAGTGCAGATGAACAGAGCAGCCATTAAAAGGGCTTCTGTTGTTGTTCAAGTGTGAGGTTGCTGGGAAGCCGTTTCAGTTATTGGTGTCATTTTGTGTGGGCAAAGGGAATCGCTAATCGCATATCAAGCTGAAAAGACCCCTGGACAACCTCCAGTCACAGTCTAACACGCATCCCTTTCCTACGGCCAAATGAAATCAGTGTCTTGGGTGGTATATTTACAAGCAGCTTTGTCCGCAGAAAACAAAATTTGCACGCCTGGTTTCTGCTTTCAAATAGAAACGGCTATAGCGATATTCTAACATCGCTGTCATCTCGTGCATCCCTGAGGGGATCCATTCGACTGGAGAGCCACAGGAGACCAGAGAGTGACTCATTAGAGAGTCAGGTTACCTTGGATGCGAGGCGTAGATGCATGAGAGCCATAATGGACGGTTGTGTAAGATTATACGAGAGGCTGCGATACCTTCCAATGACCAGCTCTAATGAGCACAAGCAGAGGTTAAGAGTGCAATATGTACACCTGATCGCAGATAAGCAGCGTAGTGCTTTGTTTTGAATTGAATTGCAGAGGTAATCTATTTAGTCCTGCCGGTACTGTCTGTCGAGGTAACATCTCCTGTCAGCCATGGGTTGTGTGTTTTCCCTAAGTTTGCTCCCACAATTAAATCAGATGAGAGCACTTCTTACACCACGGATAGGGTCAACTGATCCGTGAGCAACACAGAGGTTCCTTTAGTTTTATGTGTTCGAAGGGAGGGTAAACGAAACCCTTCACACGAATGAGCTTGTGCCATCTCAGCAGGTTAGGATGTGGGCTAATGGATCTACACTATGCAGTCAGCAATCATTTCCAAAGCAAATCAGTCACAACACACAACTCTCTCTAACCAACGAGTCATATGAGATTAAATGAAGTCAACAATAGAGAGCAAGATTTATGAACCTAATGTCGCATAAATAAGTTTCTCTGTAAACATGTCATGCCCAATATCCTGGGGTTGTTCCAGAATTGAAGAGGCTCTCAAAAAGTCCTACACTGCCAGAAAACTCAAGCCATGAGAGAGATGCATCAACATCAGTCTCCTTTTAATCACTCTTATTAAGTTTGTCTAGGCACAACATATGCCTCTATCACTCTAGGGGCACAGTGTTCGTAGTTATTAGCGTTTCTCTTTAGCCAGCATGGCTGATCATTTTGGAAACTAATGTGATTGACCCTTCTCTCGTGCTCCTTGCTAACTCAGACTTTACAGAACATCCCTTTTGTAGGAGAGCTGTAAGATGAACTGAAGAAAGGACATTTTTATCCTCTATGTACCTTTCTGTCTCTATTATAGGCTGGCTACTATGTTTTAACACACAAAAACTATCCAAACGTTCAAACAATCCGTAGACTTACATTTGAAAATGAAGGACAACAAAAGTTGTTAAAGCTACACTGTGTGATTTTTACCTCCATCTAGTGGTGAAAAGGTATATGAGCATCCAGTGAATATTAGTTTCTGTTCCTCTTAATTTCCGATTTCATTTTAACTCCTAC